TCCATCATCTCAAAGAGAATCAGGGAGTCCATCTCAGTGCTTCCATGAGCACTCATATAAGGACTATAGAGGAGACCACCATGGATCTTTTGAAAAATACCGGCACTCTTCCACAAATGCCTTTCTCAATGCATGGAAGAAAACAGCACCTTCTGGACCTTGTAATGAAACTGTGAGGAGGCTGTGCATGTAGCTCAGTGGTAGAGTGCTCGTCTAGCTTGCATGATGCACTGGGTTTGATCCTGAGCACCACATAAAACCAAATAAATAAAATAAAGGTATTGTGACAATCTACAACTAAAAAGAAAAGAAACTTTGAGGGGTGGGGAGTTACATATCAGATGTGATAAACATATTCAAATTTTTGTTATTCCAATGGTTTTGGATTTTCTGCTCAACCCACTCAACCTCATACTAGGTCACCAAAACCCAAGATCCATGATCCCCAGACTAGCAATGAGTCTACCTTTGGTTTGTTTTTCTTTACTTTCTTTCTTTTTTTTTTTTTGTACTGGGGATTGAACCCAGAGGCACTTGACCACTGAGCCACATCCCCAGCCCTTTCTTGCATTTTATTTAGAGATATGGTTTCACAGAGTTGTTTAGCATATCACTAAGCTGCTGAGACTGGCTTTGAACCAGCAATCTTTCTAGTTATTTATCTGATGGCAACTTGGAATAGTTGTAGAAGGTCTCAAAAGTGTGCCCTTGCAAGGCTTCTGCCCAGGAAAAGTTATAACAGATCTATGCAGGAAAAGGATGCCAGTCCCTCAACTCACGAAATCAAGCCACTTCCATTGGCAAGGGAGACACAGGGAATTGTACCAACCACTGCCTACATTCTCTTTTTTAAATAATATATTTTGTTATAGATGGACAAAATATATTTATTTTTATATGGTGCTGAGGATGGAACCCAGTGCCTCACACATGCAAGGCAAGCACTCTACTATTGAGCTACAACCCCATCCCACTGCCTACATTTTCACAGGACAAAGGTGGTGAGGCTGGAAATCAAAATATTGCCTTCTGAACACCAAATACTTAACCTTTGGGTTTGATTGTTGGAGTTGTCAGTCCTACAAAAAAAAAGAAAAAAAAGAATTAAAAAAAATATATATATATATATAAAATATATAATATATATATAATACATATTTATATATTTATATTATATATATTATATACATTTTATATATATATATGGTTGTAGGTGGACACAATACCTTTATTTTTTTTTATTTTTATACAGTGCTGATGATCCAACCCAGTGACTCACGCATGCTAGGCGAGAGCTCTACCACTGAGCTACAATCCCAGCCCCTAGGAATAGGATTTTGAGGGCTGTTCAGAGAGGCCCCTGGTCCTCTTACTGTGACTAGAGCTGACAGTTAAGGAAACCCAAGCTGGGGGTACTGGCACATGCCTGTAATTCTAGCAACAGGGGAGGGTGAGGCAAGAGGCTCACAAGTTCAAGGACAGCCTCAACATTTTACTGAGACCCGGCCTCAAAATAAGGAAAATTTAAAAAAGGGCTGGGGATGTAGTTCAGTGGTAAAGTGCCCCTGGGTTCAGTCTCCAATACAAAAAAAAAAAAAAAGAGGAACCCAATCTCATCCTTTTTTTCTTTTTTTTTTTTTAAGTTGGTGTTATTTTATTTGGACCTTTATTTTATTTATTTATATGTGGTGCTGAGGATCAAACCCAGTACCTCACACATGCTAGGCAAGCGCTCCACCACTGAGCCACAACCCCAGCTCCTCATCCTTTCTTTACTACACATAGTCTAGTACACATAGAGGAATTGTCCCACACCATCGAGCTCATAGGCATCATGACCACCATGAGGGTCATGCTACCTCAGCAAGAGAAAGCGCCTCCCAGAAGTAAGAGACTAAATAACAGTGCTTCATGCCCCCAGGAAGGGCACTAGGGAACTGCTTGCTGCCCCCGATACTGCCTGGCCTTGGCCAGCAGGAAAAGTCCATTCCTCCAGCCCAGATGACACCCAGGGTCTTCTGGAACAAGGCAATGCTCAGGACCAGCACCTTCTCACCTCACTGCCACAGTTCAGAGAAGCCAGGGATGCGGGTCTCTCCTGGCTGTACATAAGGCGACGGGAAAGGTCACACGGAGAAGAAAACCCCCAAGAATGACCAAAAGCATCTGGGAGGTCATACTAAAGGAGCAGGCAGGTTCCATGGGGCGTAAGAAGATGCAGAGCAATAATTCCCTGCAAATGTGCTGAGGTGAGAGGCTCATCCACAGGTGGCCGGGCATTTGCTTTGAGTGTGGCACCTATGATCGATGGGGGAAGGCCACTTGCAGTGTGCCATAGTGGGACAGAGTTGTCTGGCTGACCTATACAAGATAGGAAGTCAGATCCTGTGTTAGCCATTGTCCTTAAAGCCAGCTGCTGGAAACCACGGACCCTGCCATTTCATTGTTCCGGCCACAGGCAGAAGCCACCCATGGCTTTCCTCTAAGCCCCTGCTCCAGGAGATGACTCAGGATTCAGGCTGCTCTGCAACTTGCACACCTGGAGTCCAGGGCACTCCCGAGGCCAGGGGAGAAAGACCAGGGTGCCCCACGATGTGTTTGCAAAACCCCGAGAGTCTTCTCAAAAGCTTCTTTCGCCCCACAGAAAGGCAGAGGTGAAGTCCAAATGGTGAAAGAGTGGAACACAGAATCAGTCACAGGTCTGAAAACAACAGAAGGAAATATCAAATAGTGTTATAGCATGGGGGACATCCTGGACAGACAGACCACTCAGAAATCATCAAGTACTAGTTTCATAAGTGTGTTCACATAAAAACCGGAGACTTCTCATGGGCCTCACACAGCAGAGCTGTTCAGAAGAGACAGAATGAGAGAAGACAGTGCCTGCTATGCTCAAATTCGGGACCCCCAAAAGACCACCAGAGACCAAGATCGATGTAAGCAGCAAAGAGGTGTTTATTGTGAGCTAGCTCGGTCCTCCGCACGCACACAGCAACTGGTGACGCTGAGAGGCCCTGAGCCCAGGGTTTGCAGCAGTTTTATACACTCTTTGGGGAAGGCAGGGACTTCACATACATCATAGCATCTCTTAGCAAATCATGACACACCACGGGGGGGAAAAAATCAAACAACTCTAAAACATGATTAGCACATTCACTGGCGGGAACAAGTTGGGTAGGGGTGATTGATTACTACAAGAGGGGGATTCGTTTGAACTGATTGGTGTTCGTGCTGAACTACACAGTTCCCCAACACATTATCGACCACCATAAACTACTGGGAGGGTCATCTGGCATCCCAGGTATTTCCCTGTCTCATGCTGATTGGTGGCTGCTAGGGGGTTGCTATGGGTCCCCACCTAGCCTGACTGAGTCAGGTTCACCTGGGGCAGCAGATCTCTCCTGTTATTTGTAGATAAACCACTTAGCAGGGTGGAAATGTGCCTAAGAGTGCTCTGTGGGTCTTTCCAAGGACAAAGGTCACGTCCCTTCCTTGGACAGGCTTTGCTCTGAGGTAGAGGCTGGTTTTTCATGCCAAGATAAGTACCCCAGCCACAGCATGTGACGGGCACCCTCAGGGCACGGGCAGTTAGTTCCCTGACTCAGAAGCCCAGATGGGGGATGAATTTAGGATGAGGGAGCGTGCTCAGCGTGGAGCAGGAAAATGCAAAATCCAACACAATAGGATAGTACCTTACACGGGCAGAATGGCAAACCTATAGCGAGTGAGCTTTGGGGATAAGAGAATCCTCTGGTAGTGCTGGTGGGGATTTAAACCACCAGCTGGTCTTGAAGGATGAGGGGTGACATCCTTTGAAATAAGGGCACGGATGCCCTTTGAACCGCAGCGTGGACTATTGCATAGCAGTAAGAGGGAGAATTCCTGGCGCACGCAATAATTCCCAAGGTTCTGCTGCGCGAACACCAGCCCACCCAGAAGCTGTTGCAGGCTGCACATGTGGTTAGGTTGACGCAACACTCTTCCGGGGACGAAATTGTATACATGGGGAACAAGATTACTGGTTGCCACGGACTAGGCGGGAAGAGGGGGTCTTTTAAAGGTCAGCGGCTGGGGGCTGTGTCCTGGCGGGGGTAGTGGTGAGAGGAACTTGGGCAATGGACGACTGGACTGGCCCAGCGCCCCACGCCCGCACAGGAGCGATAGCCGGCGCGGCTTCCTCAGGCTTCCGAGGCTGCATCACTGTCGGGCAAGATGCCCAGGCTGGGGGAACTGCGGGGAAGAGTCACCCGCCTCCTGGGTGTGCTAGGCAACTTCCGGTGAATCAAGAATTCCAAAGTCCTAGCGCAGAACCCAGAGACGGCCCTGCAGCGTTAGGTGCGCAAGGGAGAGCAGCGCAGCCGCACTCAGCTGCAGCCCCAAGCACAAAACAGCCCCAACGCACTACAGCCCCGCCTGTGGGAGCGCGAACGCGACGGGGTGGACTCCACTGAGCAGAAGAGGCGTCCGTCACAAGAAGGGGGGCGGGACGCCCTTGCGAACTGAGCTTCCTTATTGGTGAAGCTAGCCGGAATGGTAGGGCAGGAGGCCGGGAGGGACCTTCCGGGGGGGGGGGCAGCAGAAGGGGCTCTGGGGGGGGGGGGGGGGGGTGAGGGGCGTGGCGCGGTGATGTTCCCGCGCCTGCGGCTCCCAGGCCCCCCTTCCCCTACGACCCGGGCGCCTAGACCGTCCCTGCGGAAGGAGCCGAGGGGAAGCCTCCCTGCTCGCGGGATCCGGGGCCCGGGAGCCCATGGGCCGCGATGAGCCCGCCCGTCCCGTTCCCCCACGGGTCCCCGTTCTGAGGGTCAGCGCGGCCTTCTAGAAGGTCCGGGACGGATTCGTAGCGCTCCCAGGGAGATTGGGAGACGGGGAAGGAGAACTGGCGACCTCACGGGGGCTGGCGGGGTAGCACGGCCGCCCCAGCTCGGGCCACGCCCACTCGGGCCCGAGCTCTCTGGCGCCGCCTGTGGTGAGCTTCACGGCCCCGGGGCCCCGACGTGTGGCGGCCCCTCTCTATCCCAGCCCGCCGCGTTCGCCCAATGCTCCTGAGCGTGTCTCTGGGCGGGTTCGCTGCCAAGCACGGACGCCCCCTCCTCCTGCACACAGGGTGCTGTGCACAGTAGGGCGGAGCGGGCAGCCTGGTCGCGGGAGGACGTGGCGCCTGTCAGAGGCGTCTGTGCACGCTTCTGGAGATGGGGACGCAGGAAGGTGACAGTCTCCCAGTGTCACTCGACAGGGTGGTCTGCCACGGGGGACTGCTGTTGTGCGCCAGGACGACCAGTGGTTGGGCACCGGCTGGGGCCCTCTCACTTCCTGGGGAGGTAGGTCAAGGTGAGCCCCGCAGAGGAAGCCCTGCAAACGGGAACCCGCCCTCCCCCCCGCCCCTCCCCCGTCCTCCCCCCCCCCCTCCCCCCCCCCCCCGCCCTCCACCGCCCCTCCCCCGCCCCTCCCCGTGCTTCCCACGCTGCAGCGTGCCTGGGAACACCTGCCGAACTGGTTCCCGCTAAGGAGCCTGGAAAGGCTGGTTGCCGCCTTCCTTCCCTGGCAGGCGGAGCCTCCCAGCTTCTGGGTGTTGCTGCACAGGCCTTCCCGCGGCGTGGGGCACGGACACCCACCGCGAAGACTGCTGGGCTCCACCACACTGCCCTGGTTGGTCTTCCTGCAGGTCCAGGGGCTGCCTGTAGTTTAGTCACCTAGCTGAGCACTGAGCGCCGAGCGAAACGGCAGTCTTGGAAGCCCACGGTCTCCAAGAGAGTCGCTTGCCCGGTGTGGAAGCCCTTTGCGTTTCCGTTCCTCTCCTCTGTCCCTATTGCTACTTGGTCATCTGCCTTTTTGCTTGTTGGTTGGCTCCAGGTCTCTACCTGGTAACACAGGAGCCCTCGATCACATCTTGAAGCTCGCTTTCGCCACTCTGTCAAGCCTTTCACACACTGGTTTGAGAAGTTGTTGGGGGTCAAGTAGAAAATTTTAGTCTTCGTATCATTGCAATTCCCAGGCTTTTCCTAATGGTTTCTGGGGTTTCTTTGCCTTGGGCTAACTGGGCAAGCTCCCCCAGTTAAAACCCTGTGCATCTGGCTTTTATGTCCCAGGTCAGGGGGCCCCCTGCAGTTTGGCTCTGGCTCAGGTCTCTTGGGTGTGGGTCTTGGTGGTGGTGGTGGTGGTGGTGGTGGTGGCATGGAGGTGCTGTCAGCTGGGGTTAGCAGGGGGCCTTTAATGCCTCCCTGCAGGGCCTCTCCCTAGGGCTGCTCAGGCCAGAGCTTTCCCAGAGCCAGGGATCAGAGAGATGGGGAGGGAGAGGGCAGGAGGGAGCACCCCAAGGCCAAGCCACAGTCTTCTTGGGACCTCATCCCCTGATGCCCTTCACCCCTGCTGTCGTTTTTTAATTGGTCTCATAGGTCAAACCAGGATCAGTGCGGGATAGGAGAATGTATGCAAGGAAAGAGGTTGTTCCCACCTGGCACTATAAAGCACAAGGTGGCTGCTGGCGGGCACCTGGGCTCAGGGACTTGCATGTGCCACTCCAGGTCCTAAGCAGGTCCAACTCTGGAATGTGTCCCAGGTGTAAGCCCACCCTCAGGACCCAGATTGAGTGGCTTTCCCATCTTTGAGTCATCGCAAATTAAAACACAGACGACCCCAACAAGGAAGGAGGATGTGCCCTGGAGAGCCTGGTGTGACCCTCACACCTTCTGTGTGTGCTCACTGGCCCATGCTCACGGAGCTTGTGCCCGCCGAGCTGGGTAAATCCTGTCCCTGCAGTTTGTCCTGATGACAGGCTCAGGAGGTCCTTTCTTGTCACAGCAACTTGTTCAGCATCCCAGGAATCCCCTCCAAGCCTGGGGGGCTGGACACTCCCCGCCACCTGCAATGTCCCACCCAGGGGCTGGCGAAGCTCTGCCTGAGGTATGGGTGACGTTTCTGCAGCAGGCTGGGCCTCTCCTCTGCCTCCACCCCAGAAGGAACCATGAAGGGCAGGTGCCCAGGAGTGGAGAGGTGTGTGCCTCGTCGTGGCGCAGGCACAAAAGTCCCTTTCCTAGGCGACTGCCTCACGTTGCCCAGGTCCTGGGCACTGGCATCTCAGTTGGGGCAGTTGGCAGCCTGGGAGGTGGGGACGCTGAGGGATGAGGTGAGACACAGGGAAGAAACTTCCCTCTGGCCTGAAGGAGGCCGTTGGTGCCTCATCCTTCCTGGTCTGCACTCGGTGGAGACTTCTCCATGGTGCTCCTGGTGGCTCTGAATCTGTCAGTGAGCTTCCCTGGTGGTGAGTGCTTTTGCTGTGGGCTGTCACCGCTGGGCAGCACCCGGACCCTGGCAAACAGCTCCTGGCGCTTTCCCCAGCTGCCTTGCACATCTGGACCTCAAGGTGGGCCCTTCTTGTGTGGATGTGTTCTTTTTTTTTTTTTTCTTTTTAATAAGTTTTTAAATTTATTTTTATGTGGTGCTGAGGATCAAACCCAGTGCCTCACATGTGCTAGGCAGGCGCTCTACCACTAAGCTGTAACCCCAGCCTGCAGATGTGTTCTTGGCATATGGGGACAGCCCCTCAGCCAAGATGTCGGGCTAAGGGTCCTGGGGCTCCTCAGGAGGACACGCTCGGCTCTGTGCACACGCACACTCTGGGGTCGGCTCTGCACACGCACACTCTGGAGTCAACTCTGTGCACACCCACACTCTGGAGTCATCTGTGTACTTGCTGTCCTGTGCATCCCTCTAGCCTCTGAGAGAATGGAGCCAGCTTTCCCATCCTTTGAGGCTCTGCAGGGAGAAGCTTTGATTCCTCTGCCTGGGATGATCTCAGGGAGCCTGGTTGGAGCCACATCTTCCCAACCCCAGCTGCCCTACACCCTTGCAGGGGGTGGGGGTCGGGCTCTTAGCAGCCTGCTGTGCAGAGGGGAGAGCCAGACCCCGTCCTGATGCGCACAGCTCACCCTGACTTAGCCTAAAGCTGCCTCCTCCTCACCCTCCTGCCCTGCCCCCCTTAAGGATCCTGGAGGAGCTTCCCTAGAGTATCATAGCCTGTGCTCCAGACCTGTGGGGTCACCAGCAGCTGTCCCCATGGGCCCCCAACTCTAGATTGAACCCAGGGACCTCTTGGGAGCAGCATGCCTGCCCCCTTGGCACCTGTATCCAGGGCCTCTGGAGCCATCTTTAGTCAGGGGCCTCCACTCCTGTCCCTAGGGAGACCTAGTGCCCTGGTCACAGCTGGAGAATGGGCCCTGGGACTCTCTCTTCTGGGCTGGCTCCCTTCTGCTCCTGGCATCTGTTTGCCAGCAGGCCCAGACAAGGGGTGTGCTGGGGCTGGGCCACCACCTCTTGGGCTCTGTGCCCAAGGTGGCTGGGCCTTTGAGCCCTGCCTGTCTCCTCCTAGCATGCCCAGTGGGTCCTCCTGGATTTCCTCAGTGTGGCTGGCTCACAATCAGGATGGGGCCTGCACACGGGTTCCCATCTACCTGCCCTCCCCTGGGAGGCCCCTGGCCAGGACGGGTCTCCAGTCTGTGTCCCTCCTGCCTCCTTGCCCTGGTGGCCTCTTCTAGCTCACTGCCTGGACTGGCCTGTCTCCTGTCACCAGGGGCATATTCCACCCCCTTGGCCCCTGCCACCTAGTTTGGCATTTTCTTCTTTTCCCCTGTGTCGTCTTTACCCTCCAGAAGTGATGTGGAGGGGAGATTGGGGAGTTCTGGTTTAGCCCCGCTCAGCTTGGCATGTTCCTTGGCTCAGGCCCAGCAGGCTGGGGCTTGAGAGGATGCAAAGCAGGGTTGTCTCCTTGAGGTGGGGTCAGTGCCGGTGCTGGGAGGAGGTAATAGGTTGGGTGTGGCTCCATGGTGTAGTGTCCTGGGGACACCAGGGCTGGAGGGGGAAGGACATTCCTGAGGAGGACCTCTCATCCCCTAGGTGGCAATGGATCTCTCTGTACGTGGTTCTGCTGGTCCCTGGCCTCTCCGTTTGGGCAGCTTCTAGAGGCTTCTGGAGTGTGGGATACCTTCCCTACCCCACCCCTGCCATTGATCACAGTAGGAGTAGTAGCAGGGCTGGGCTGAGGTTCTGGTTTTATCCAATAGTTTCCTGCCAGCCTCTAGGGTGGTATCTTCTTGGGACTGGTGAACTGGAGCCTAGTGAGCAGTCCCACCCCAGGTGGAAATGAATAAAAGAATGAAGTGCTGTTGTCTTCCCTTTGTTCCCTTGGCACTGGGGAGTGTCTCATTTTATTGAGAGCCACAGGCTCCGACCCCTGGTACTCTCCTCATGCAGGGGACACTGGTGTCAGCCTCGCCCAGCAAGTGTCTTCCTTGCTTGTTTCTGGCTCTGTTGTTTCTTGTAGTTAGGCAAACCTTGGACATCTTTGCCTTTCCTGTGGCATCCCCTGTTCTTGTCCATGTGTCTGGGGTAGAGGTTCCTCCTTAGGAGTACAATTTTGGTCTTGTCCTGCTTCGGTGCTCCCCCAGGTCTCCTTCCCCATCCTCCTGTTCCAGTCATCCTCTCCCCCATCAACTATTAAGACTCTTTCCTGGCCCAGCAGGTGCTAGCATGAAGGTAAGATATCTCTCTGGGCAAGCAGCACTGCCATAGGTTGCACCCACATGCTAGCAAATGGTAAGAGTTTAGACTGGACAGCAGCTAGCACAGCCCCTCACTGAGGCCATGGATAGGTGCTGTCCCCTTCTGTGTCCCCACATCTGCTGGATCCCTATGGAAGTGGAGAGCAGTGGAATGAGTGAAGACACTGAAATTTTCAGGAGCCCTGCAGGGAAATTGCAAGATATTTGGGAACTTTTGGGATGTGCCTGGAGTAGCCCCTCAGAGATCTTAGGGGAGGTGCCCCAGAACTATCCGGAGTTTTAGGTGGAGTCCCCTAGTTCCCTCAGCTCACAGAGCCTTCATAAGCATTGGGGTTGAGGTCCCCAGAGCACTTGGATGATGTCTGGAGCACTCAGGTAACCCTTTGGGGGTTCCACCCTTTTGCCGAGGATTGGGTGCAATTACAGAGTTTGGGACCCCAGAGCCCTGAAGAGCCCTGGGCAATGGAAGCCAAGCCTAAATGGGAGACCTCAGAAGTCCAATGAAGCTCAGGAACTCAATGACTGGCATTGAGTCCTGGGGAAGGCCCAGAGCCCTAGGGAGCCCTCTAGTTTCTCAGGTCCTTGGCAATACACGGATGGAACTGGCAGCCCTTGTAGAATGAATGAATGAAGTGGGGGAGATAACACATGAGTGGTCACCGTTTGCTTTCTTCCCTCTCTTCTGACATGCCAGACACCATAGTGATCAATTATACCCAGCCTCCTACTCTGTCCTCCTCACCTGCAACAGATTCAGTACTCAAGACCTAGTGGGCCATTTTGTCCCCAAAGTCTCCATATCTCTTCCCCTATTCTTGGGATTTTCCAGGCCCAGCTCCTGTTACTCTTGTGCTGTTCCTTCTCTCCAGAACAGCTAACTCTTCAAAGGTTTGGGGATGTCAACCTTGCCACTACCCCAGGTTCCACATAGGTTCCCATTGGTCTCACCTGCTTCTACCCAATCCCCAGCAGGGCTCCAGTCCAACACAACAATCCTGAGCAGTGAGTCGCTTCCTCCTCTCAATGTGCTTGAATATGTGTGTGTGTGTGTGTGTGTGTGTGTGTGTGTATTTATTTATTTAAGTACCAGGGATTGAACTTGGGAGTACTCAACCACTGAACCACATTCCTAGCCCTATTTTGTATTTTAGAGACAGGGTCTCACTTGAGTTGCTTAGTGCTTCACTGTTGCTGGCTTTGAACTTGTGATTCTCCTG